TTGTTGTCTGTACTTTATATGTTCTGTCTGGAACAGATCTCTCTTGTAAATGAGTCCTGGTGGCTCAATGACACTAGTCTATATAAATAAAGGTTGAATGAATATTGCCCTATTTTTTTGCATTATGAAAATTTTATTGATTAGGTTTTGTGTATTTCTCTAAAACTCTAAACAGACTATAAATATATGATACAATATAGTGTTTATGCTTTCTTGGCTTTAAAATAATTATGTAGACTTGTTTCCTGTCTTGGCAATATATGGGGTTTTAACAGTTTGTTGTCAAAATATGATCCCTAATCTTTCATCTAATCTTTGATTTTTTTCTACAGCTTCTTTGATCATTGGGTTGACATTTATTCTTTATTAAATTTTGATTGTTTAACAGTTTGAGTACCAGATCTTGTATATTTAGTCTGTGTTTAGTTCATTTATTTGTTTACATCAAACCATCTTGCGTTCAGTTTAGTTCTGTCTTTGTTCGTCTTCTGATCCAGATCTTTAACTGAACCAAACGTGTTTGTAATATCAAACAAAACAAACTTTGACAACTTTAATATTTGACAAACATCATGACTATATGAAATAAATAACTAGACCAAGTCCTGAACTTTGTGGGATTCTTAAGGTACGCCTCAGCATGCCAGATTTTCTTATTTACTTGCACATACTTGAAACTGCCATCAAGTTACTTACTACGTTAATTACACACCACTACTCTAATGCATTTTTCTTCTTTTAATTTCCGTTGAGAAATTATGAGTTAAGGTGTTAAAGGCCTTTTTTGTCACTCCTATGATGCAGTTCTTATTTTTAATAGATGTTTTCAACTTCATTCCTGTTCTATTTGTTCTGAGGCCATATTGACATTGAGTCAGAAGTTTTAGTTTTTGAAGAAGCTTAAAAACAAATATATTCTCTGACAGTTTCAAATCTGAGGAAGAAGTTAGTTTGTATGTAAACTCATTTACACTTTTATTCCCATCTTCTAAAGGAATATAACAGTTTGCAGTGACTGATTACACATATTCATCCATCCATCCATCTGTCCGACCGACCGTCTGTCCATCCGTCCGTCCGTCCGTCCATCCATCCATCCATCCATCCATCCATCCATCCATCCATCCATCCATCCATCCATTTCCTTCCACATATTTGTGATAGTCACAAGGTATTGGGTCCAGGAGAGAATCCCAGACCTCCCTCTCCACAGTGACACACTCCAGCTCCTCCTGGGAGATCCCAATGCATTTCCAGGCCATAGAGGATATCTAATCTTTCCAGTGGGTTCAGGGTCTAACTCAGGGTCTCCTCCCAGTGGGACAAGTGTGAAGTAACTCCAGTGGGAGGCGCCCACGAGGCATCCTAATCAGAAACCACCTCACTTGATTCATTTCCATGTAAGAAAGCAGCAGCTCTGACGGAGCTCCTCCTCACCCTGAGCCTGGCCTGTCATATCAATATAATTACAATTAGTGGATTTTATACTCTAAAATCATGTACTTCATTAACTCGTCATAGCCACAATTATTAAGAAAGAACAAAAAATTAGCATGATATATTAAAAAATGTGACTTAAAATAACCATTACTAGCTGTGACTTATGAACAAATAACTTTGTTTACTATGTTGCTATTCTGCTTAAACAGTTGATTTAAGTTGTTGTTGATTGAAGTAAATTTGACATTAATTACTGTTTTTATTTGAATTATACACTATACTGAAGCAAAAGCTGGAGTTACAGTGTATTATCATTTAAAAAATATTTGTAAATTATATCTTGTGTCCCATATAACAACAATTAAGGAAATATTTTAGTCATTTTTGAAATGACGTTGTAGTTAGTACCTTATCAGTACAAATACAGTCGACATACCGTATTTTCCGCTGTAAACGTCGCATCAGTCCAAACATGTCCAAACATGTCCAAGTGGAAAAGAACATAAATACGTTGCTTCACCATATACGTCGCATGTATTATGCATCACCGCTGGCGCGTCGCGTTTGTTACGCGTCACCACTGACAACCTGGAAATGTGGACTGCTGTTGTGCCAAAAATCGATGGGCTGCCAAACGGCAGCCACGGGAACGTGCACGGGAGGACTTTAACAAGAATTTAACAAGATTAACACTTAGAAACAATTATTTGTTTGCTTAAAATTATAGTAACGATGTGTCTCAGTCTAACTTTTCCTTAATAAATTCACTTTGACAGTCAAATCAACTGTACTTTCAAAAGACGATTTGCAGCTGCGGGAGCGTGCATGGGGGTGACTCACTATGCATTTCTTCGAAATTTAACAAGATAACCACCAAAAAATAATTATTTGTTAGCTCGACTTTATAGTAAATGTGTGTCTCAGTGGAACTTTTCCTTAATAAATGCACTTCAATGGTCAAATCAGCTGCATTTCACCGGGGCGGTGCAGCAAAATGATGCTGGTTTAACAGTTGCTCCAGGTGAGCTGGATGAAGGTGGCAGTCTAGCCACTTTAACCTATTATATGACACAACAGCATGTCATACGCTCTGCTGCCATCTAGTGGCTGAAAATGATAGTGTTTAATATTTTCAGTCAGAGTGAATGAAAATGTCATATCTCAGTCAAAAATTGTTTTATAAATATGGGAAAAAATCCATAAATACGTTGTTTCGGCGTATAGTCACAGGGCATGCATATTATGCAAATAACTATGACTTATAGGCCAAAAAATACGGTATACACAAGCTGACTATGGTCACATTCACATAGTACCTCGGATGCTAGGTTAAGAAAACAGCAACAAACTAAACAAATGGTGTCATGCTCAAAGTGAAGAGGTTTAATATGAGCTTATGTTGGCTCCTTTCACACTGGTGAGTCATTTTTAAGGAACACAAATCTAAAAACAAAAACAAAAACAAAAAACCCATAATGGCTCTCATTTGACTAGCCTGAATAAAACTTGCCT